AAAAAAAAAGTTGAATTTGACAAACACTGAACGTCAGTGGGTCGCAGCTGACTGCACCATTTTAAGTTAAATTTGAAGCACAAACAATTGCCGAAGTTAAACTTCATTGAAACTTTTCGAAAAAAAAGTTTCCCATATGGTGCGCACTTTAATGGTGACACTGTATGTTGCATGAAACTGATGTAATGATAGCTATTTCTTCCGAAACGTATGTTTTTGAATGCAAATTCCAAACAATTTAAATAAATTGGACCGTATTGAAAATGATCCGAAAGAAGAAATAACGGGAAAGTGAATAAAGCAGTGGTGGGAATGAAACATATTGCCTGAAATCATGAATGTGACGTGAATGTTAAGAGGTAATAGCAAATATGTGATATCAATTATTCTCTTGACTATCAACATTGAAACAATCACAACCATCACAACTATCTCATACCAAGTTCAATTCAGTTGAGTTTTGGATTTTTATTTAACATAGCTCCACGACTATATGACAACAGAAAATTGCGCATTTCCAAACAATTATTCATTAACTTTTCACTTTTTGAAAGAGCATGTGTTTTATAATCATCTTCACAGATGTTGGTTTTTCCCAGTATCTACTAATCGCCTTGAGAAATCAAAACAAGTACAAAACGAATACACAAGTTTTGCAGCAAAACAAAAATATACGAGTACCTAAATTAAACTGTACAATAAAACGAGCAGATTATCAATATCCTTATTCATATTCCAACAAAACAAATTACAACAAAAACATAAGATCATCATCAACATAATGCGGCACAGAGGAACAAGATAATTGTTAGTCATTCTTTGCTAATCCATTTTAAAATTTCACTTCTTCCTTCTCCCGTTATGGCACTACTTTCAGTGATCGTTATACTTTGGCGTACTTCTTTTTGCAATCTCTTCATCTGCAGCATCAGCAGAGCCTCGTTCCTCATTTGTCTGTAACTGACATCCATCTTCGTGAGAGCGATCAAGAACTGAAAAAAGTAATGAATATTTGATATACAACTGAGAAAGAAAATGTGATGTATATTTAATTTGATATCCGTGAAGGAGAGTAGTTCTTATAGAAGAACTGTTGATTTCGGTTCAAAATCGAACAACTTCAGAGTTGTTCGATTTTGTTTTCATATATTCAAGGAAATATAAGTTCCTTTTCTACGTAGATGAACTCTCAATAAATAGACGATCATTTATAAAACGGAATATACTTGGCAGATGCAAAGCAGATGGTCCCACATAAATTACACCAAAAATGAACTGATATTGAACCACAAAAATCACAAAGTGGGGTGTGATTGAGCTGATTGCAAAAATTACTTCATAAACTGAAAGTCAATGTGTTTATTAATTTTTCTAATAATGAACGTCACATAACATCATAACTGTCAGATCAAAAATTGAACTGTAAACAAGTAAAGTTGCTATATGAACATGAATAACAATTGATATTACACAAACAACTCAGCAAAATAACGAGTCATAAATACAATTGAATTGGATAATCTGTTCACAATGCATATTTTAGAATATCTGTCGAACTATTATAAGAATTGATTACAATTGTCTTTTCAAGTATTCAATATAGATAAATTTTGTCTTTTACAGTGAATAATTTGGACGAATCGTTTAGAAGTTATCTCAGTAAGCCATTACGCATCGCGCCTAGTGTAAGGCGGTGGGAACGATGCGCGGGGGTAGAGGGGCGGTCTAAGCAATGAAGCGCCATTGCCGAGAACGTGACCCGAACGCGGGCAGACGCGGCAGACATCGTTGACGATTGTGTAGTTTTGCGAAATTTCTTTGTAGGTAACATAATTTTATTATCGAAGCTATTCATTACATAGTGCAGTTGACATATTTTTCACTCACTGAATTTTCAAAATGAATATATAAATTACTAGCTGTTACCCGTGGCTTCGCTCACGTAGAATTTGGTGTGTCACATCAAGTTTAGTGACATACCATTTTAAACAAATAGTTGCAATATTTTTTTATCAACCCAACTTCAAAACTGACGAATTTCAATACAATTGCTCATTACCGCTATACAAAGAACTTACCTGCATATTTCAAGATTCTAGGTTCAGTAGCTTTGGCTGTACGTTAATATAAGAGTGTCAATCAATCAATTGGTGCGCACTTATAAAATACTAGCTGTACCTGCACTTGTACCTGTACTCATACCTGCACTTGATTGAGGTGAACCTCAATCGAATATGGAACCCCATTTTAAGGAATCCTAGAATAACAAACAGGACAACAGGCAGCAAGATTGTTAATGTTCCAGGGTCAAGTGCAGGTACAAATACAGATACAAATACAACTGATTACCTGACAAGGCATAAATACGCTTTACGAAGCCTGAAAGGTAGTCATCGGACAGCAAGCCATGATGGTTAAACCTCTTTCTTTGTATAGCGTAAAGAGAAAGGGAATCAGGAATTTCCATCCCCAAGGGGAAAACATAGGGGTTCAAAATTGTATTCAATTTTGTCTGTTTTGAAGTTGGAAACCTGAAGTTTTGAATTAATAAAAAAAATAATGTAACTATTTGTTTAAAATGGTCTGCTACGAAACCTTTCGTGACAAACCAAATTCTACTACCACTAGTGAAGATATATCCATACTATTTCATTTTACTACATTGTTCAGAAATCCTGTGAGATATCGATTATAAATTTCCCAACCTTGTTCACATCTTGATACATAGAGCAATAATCAAAATCTGTCGCGCTTATTTCATTCAGATGTTCAATTTATGGTTCATAATATTAAAAAACTTCAACCCATTATCAGTTTGTTACCATTATTGAAAATCGAAGTGCCAACTTGACACTGTCAAGCTGCCACACTTGAGTTGTACTCAGCACCACTGTTAATGAAATGCTTCAATCCATTAGATCTCTTCATCATCCTTTCATCAAGAGTATCGTATTATTTTACATGGTGAGGGGTCAAAGTGATCAATCTAGGAATATTCTATGCATCTTGGATTGGTTTGCGTGGTTTATTCCACTCATTCAATCTGAACAATGATCCGAGCCCACAATCAATTCACACTGCCTATCGTACAACCCGAGCTAGGAATCGCACGTTGTGAAGTAAGACCTCGTAAATCCTTAGCTCGCATACGTTTCAACTTTTGAGGGTTGTCGTCAGTAGGGGGTGACAGCTGGTTAACAGGAAAACAGATGTTGACAGGTGTGTTAGGAAACTTCTCCTACAAATTTAGTAAGGGGCCAGTCACATCAGCGAAAAAAATTAGATAAAATGGTGTTGTTAAATTTGGACTGAATTTCACAACAGAAAATCTGAAATATTTGTAATGGGTTGGCCTCAGTAGGTTAAGGTTTTTGTTATGGAGTAATCTCAAGAAAGAGTATTTTCTTCTGTGATTTTTTTGAAAACGTGTATTGGCAATTCTATAAAGTGTATAAATTATTATGTGGGTCGTGTCCGATGTTTCATATAGCCCCATTATAATAATTAACAATCTCTTCATCAAAACAATACTGAACCAGTGATTTTCAGAAAAGGCTTTTTTCTGGAGAACATACAATTTCGAAAGAGACATCCTTAATATACGTTCATGAAATCAAAATAAAAACTGAGACAAAACATCTCTTGAAACTTGTTATCCATTGTTGAATAATTTTCCAATAATATATTTTGGCCACTGATTTCAACTCACTTGAGCATTCCTCAGGCACGGATTCACCATGACAGTGTAGAGAAGCACACATGCAGCTGATATTTGGCACAAATCAGACACATCCACCACAAAGATAACCTTCCTCACATTTTCGTTCAAGTATACGTTCCATATAGGTGCCATGGTTCCTCCCAATTCTCGGACTGTGTAGATTTTGTCGCCAATTTTGATGTCGATAATGTTGGTACCGACTGTTGGTACGGCTGTTGTTGTGTTATCGATACTTTCACTATTCCGGAGACTCTTCAGAAGGAGAGTTTTTCCAGCACCCATGGGGCCTAGACAAAAGATCATGGTTATGGAATGGAAGTTTGTTAGGTCTATGTTGCTTGGGAAACATAAATCGATGAACGGTATGTGAGTTTAAGACATATAAATGTAGAGAGGTAGGGATATGTCTATTTCTGATATACAGGGTGAGCCATCGAAAGCTCGTCTCCACTGCTCAGTTGCAATGTATTTTGAACTCTTTTATTTGTTTGTTATGCTACTTTTTTGTTGATTTTTCAGTTCTAGTTCTAGGAAAATGCTGTTTCTATTTCTCATTTTTGAGTTAAAAGTGATATCTACATTATTACTAGTAGTGAGTGCCGTGTTGCTAAAGAAATAATGGTTTACACACCAGTAACAAATGAGGCGACACAAGTGGCAATTCTGGGCCATGTTGAGCTTGACCATTGTTTGAGCACAAGAAAGTTAGCATTTTTTTCCGGGGTGTCACGATCTAGCATTCGGCGTATTATTAATCCCCTTTTCGCTGATATTATTGAAAATGACCACAATTATCGGGAGGATCTGTTAATATTTCAACAAGACGGGGCTCCTCCACACTATGCTCTGCCTGTTCGACAGTATTCAGATCAGATTTTTCCAGATCATTGGATTGATAGGCAGGGCACTATCGAATGGCCACCACGATCACCAGACCTTCCGCCGTTAGATTTCTTTATGTGGGGTCATTTAAAGAGCAGAATTTACTGTACTCCTCCTCGAAGATTTACGGCAACGAATCACAAATGAATGTCGCCAAATCACTGCTGAAATGCTCCACAATGTTCGAGAACGTTTCCAGCAGAATCTCTATCATTGCATGGAAGCTGGAGGTGCCCATTGTGAGCATATGCTAACATGAGAATAAAGTCAGTAACTTCAACTCTAAATTTAATATGGTTCGTCCAAATAAAAAAAATGTACACCGTTGTTTAGAGAATTCCAAGATCTTTCAAACGATGTGCGACTCGCCCCCAGTTCCAAGGGTTGGTCACCCCTCTGCTCCGGGGGGGGGGGGAACTGTGTCTCACCCAATCAAAATCGACATCTCTGAGCGTTTTTTAGGATTTGTAAGATTAGTACCCAAAACCTCCATGTCAAGTTTTCGATGGCCCACCCTGTATGTTCTTGAAGAATCACATTTTTTTTCTGTGTTGTTAGGTTATAATTGTGAGTAGGTTATTTATGTGAGTACAGATTTCAGTGTATTTGTTGTTTTATAGGAAGTTTTATTGTTATATATTTCTCCAATTCGTCTCGTCTTTTCAGATGGTCCTATTTAGTTGTGTCGGTGGTTGTTGAGTTGGTAATTGTTATATTAGAACTCCTTACAAAACAACAGATATACTGAGCTCTATACTCACACATAAAACCCACCAACACAGAAGAAAAAAGAAATGCCTTGTTTTTATGGTAAAAGTCATATAAGTGAAACTTCAGTTAAAATTCGTGAGAATAAACATCAAGATTTCCTCAGAAATGAATAATCAACTGAATCATTCATCAGTCGTAGTGGAAATCAGACGGTGAACATCGAATTGGATGGAACAGCACCAGAATGATTGCCCAGTGAACCACAATTTCGGACGTAAGCTCAGAGAATCAGCGTATATCTGGAGAAAAGTGTATTTCAGAAAGCTCCATACATTAGACCAATACTCCAAAGAAGGTCTGATCCGGGCTTTACAAAGCATCATATTTTGAAAATAATGGCCAAAACTCCCAAAAGAGCCTCCTGCAGAAGTTTATTTAGACAATTTAACATTTTAACTCTTGTCAGCATGTATATATTCGAATTGTCAATGTTTATCTTTAAAAACAAACATAAATTTATCACCAATGAAATCATACATAGTAGGAATACTCGTCAAAAATATAACTTCCACATACAATATTGTAAATATAAGGTTACTTCTAATTCACCTTATGTGATGGGCCCAAATATCTTCAATAAGTTACCAGAAAATATCAAGGAGCTCAATAAAATTAATGAATTTACCCGAAA